GATGTACCTACCGCCCTAAAAGAACTAGAAAACGTAATTTCGTCAGAATCAAAGGAATCTAATTTCGACCCAGATGACTCAGATTTCACACCAGATTTTAGAGAACTCGAAGTGTTTAGCGAATTAAATGATTTAATTAGAGATTTGCACCTTCCAGACGATGCATCCGAATTGTTAGGGTCCAGACTTCGTGACAAGCATTTACTGGCACCTGGCGTCACATCAAGCTGTTACCGGGATCGGGAAAAAGAGTTATATCAATATTTCGGTAAATTTGAAAGAAACGAATGAAAATTTAGGACTTCTTTTGAAGAAAATAAATTTACAAGAACATCTTTGTGGGTGCTTTGTGGTGACCTTAAAGTGCTGGGCATGTTTCTAGGATAACAGGGGGTTATACAAAGTCGGGCAAGAGATAGATATTGGACTCAGATAAAATGAGCCTTTAGAACAAGCCTTACACCTGATAGCAAAAATGTAGTAAAAGATAGCTTAGTTGACCCCATAATATTTACTCCTTCTTTTTCAAAACAAACTTGGCTTATGCAAAGACAATGATTTTCAAAACACAATGACCAATGTCGAGAACAACGTCTGGCTTTCATTTAAAAAAGTAACTCATAAGTTGCGTGGCAACTCTAAGGACGAAAACTACGAAAGTAGTGTTCAAAATATATTACAGCACTTTCATCTTCTAGGTTGTAATATGAGTTTGAAAGTGAATTTCCTGTTATCACACTTGAACTGTTTTCCTGGAAATCTTGGAGCAGTTAACGAAGAACAGGGAGAGAAGTTTCATCAGGACCTTAAGGCAATGGAACCGCAATACCAAGGCAGATGGAGAAGAACTATGATGGCGGGCTACGCCTGGATGTTAAAACGGGATGTACCCTTAAAAATACACAGCGAAATGTCCGGGCAATGCAGCTTTCTGGCAAAAAGATGAAGATTTCACTCAAAAAAGTATTAGTAATTTTTTTTTTCACTTTTTTTAACAAGGATTCCACTTTTTTACTTAATAAAAAAGTAATTTATTTTAGATAAATCGTTTTTTTTTCTCAAAACATTTGCAAAAAAACCTTACGTGATACAAATAACTGCATAGAATTTTTGAAATCAGCCTACCAAAATTATATAGAATCAGTTTTCAAAATAAAAACGTCTGTCAAAAAGTTTAATTTTGTAGACCGGTATTATCTTTCTAACTCGCTTCTTATATGATGTCATGCTATTCTATAATATTGTCAAAGATGATAGTGGACTTACTTAATATTAATTAATGTTCCTTTAAAAATTTTATTAGGAACAGTATTTGGTCTGTTGAGAAAGTTTATGTAAATAAATAATAAAATTTAAAAGGAACAAATATTTTTTTATTTGTTCCTTTTAATGTATTCTCGTTAACATGACAATGAACCGACTAAAGTGATTACCATAATAATTTTACCATCACCAAAACTAACTATTTTATTAGTCTAGATAATATTATAAAAAACGGGCAAATATTTCACTTCTTCGCGCTGATCTAAACGGTCCTCACTCTATGGTCCTCGGAATCCCAAAAAATATTTAATTTCCACTTTACACTCGCCGGAAATAAAATAAAAGGGAATAAAATCGAGTGCCCGGACTCGGGAAAAACTTTTACGGATGCGTTGAATCGGAAAATGTGGGAGCGTCGACAGACAAAGACAGCGTTTTCTAATAAATATTTGCAGGCGAGCCAATGTCTTGAATTAGAATGAAGGGTTCGCGACGACGACGGAGGCGACCCAATTCGGCTGTTCCGAACTTCGACATATCGCTGTTAATAGAGTTTCCGATTTTATTCGCGAATTTATTCTCCGATGGTGGCGCTGCTGACAGTACACAAACCTGGCGGTAAGGAAGTATTTCCGACCCATTCTACCTGAACGATATGAAGCATTCAGTTAACAGGTTTTGTGGTCTGTGGTTTGTGGAAAATGGTCCAATATGTTGCGATGAAATCAATTTTATCGTAGAAAGTCAGTGTTTTGCACGAAGCATTATTAAGTACATTCCATGTAATTTTAATTCGGTCTACTGCAGAGACCGATAACCCAATTGCTGCAGTTCTCTTAAATAATGGTAGGTAGGTTTTTGTGTTGAGATTGGTTTTGGAACGCGTAAGCTTTTCCTCTAATATTGAAGACTCAAATGATACAACCCGAATGATATTTCTTAGCAATATCAAAGTAAACATGAGACTTATATGAAAAAAACGGAAGCCTTCCAAAATTTTACCACCAGAGTAGCTTAACATTTCTCCTACCAAAAACCTTGTAAAATGATCAACAATTGTTCGCACAATGCAGGAAGGCATATATAGCCAAAACTATATACTAGATTGCCGCCTTAATTTCAACATATCCCCAATGTTTTTTGTATAAGGACGCCATTACCCCTAATATCGGAATAACTACGTAACAACACAATTCTGTGGACGGGCTGAGGAACATCTTCGGTTGCAACGTCAAAATGGCGATTCGAATGCTCTACTGAAATTTAGTCTATGGAGCCGCAGATAAAAAAGTAACCTTACATCTATAGAATGTCTATTCTCAAATGTAAAGGGAATTTTTGATTGAAGCTGTTGGATAATCTGGAACTTAAAGTAAAAACACAGAATATATTTATGTCATTTGTTCAGTAATTTATTTTTGCCTCAAGCTACTTATTTAACTATAAATTCAATGAAACTGTGATAGTTCGGTAGGACCTTTTTGCCTATTTTTTGACACATGAATTTGCAAAGTTTTTTTATGGGAAAGAGACATTACCCATTTTGTCCCAGTGGTGCGTTAATGCACCACCTATTCTATGATTTTTTTGTCACATCCAGGAAATATTTTTGCACATCCATTTAGAAATTTTATTATTAAAACCGTATAAATCGCTAATTTATCTGTAAAGGAAAGATCTTATATATGACTTCAAAAGTTAACAAAAGCGGCAAAAAAATATTTTGGATATTTTTGTTAAGTCTATAGCACGACGATTACATCGCAGAAAACAAACATTGGAAATACTATATTGATTATGCTTTCTTTTTGAAAATACTTACTGGTGCGTGAATGCACCACTGGTTTTATCTGTGAAACAAAACTTTGTTTTTGGAAGTCTAGACAAGTCTGCGCATGTAGCAATAGCGTGTTCTTTAGTATTATTTTGTGCCTAGTGCAGTTCGTTAAATAAGGCAGTTCCGAGGCATTTGACTCAAAAGGAATTAGAGGCAGCTATGGAGGAGATCGTGATGGATGAGGACAATAACATGAAAGTCGTAAGTATTCTTTGGACTTACGTATTCTTATGTATTGTAGCATTCCATTCCTTGTAAATTTATGCTAAAAATAACGTGAAAAAATATTTACAGAACATATTGACGCGGTCTATATTCCACCCGACGTGGAAACCTTAAGTGACGAAGAAGATATTTACGATAACATAAATCTACAAGAGTTTGGGGAACCAACTGATATAGTTGGACCTTTCGAGTTACATAGACCGAATAATACAGCTGTCATTCGACAGTCCTGTAATTCATCAACTACTCAATGGGACTCATCAGATGATGAAACCCTGGAATTTAAAAGAAGACGTATGTTTTCTGCAAACGACAAGCTTGCGTCTACTGTCAAATGAAAGAAACCTCGGATTGAGTACACTCACACACCTATATCCGATGAATTTAGACCATGTGAGGAATTAAAAAATAGGCTTTCTGGAAGAACTCCGCTTGAAATATTTTTTATGTTTTTTGATAACGAAATGATTGAAAACAATTACTCAAAGAAATCTTGCACCTGCTATAGATGAAGTACGTTATGATAATGAAGGTCACCTCATGATTGTTCATGCTAATAAAGCCCGAAGGATATGTAGATTCTACAACAGTCACACAATTTACGTTTGTAATAAGTGTAATGTGCATTTACATACTTCATGTTTTGTAAAATATCAAAAATGAAACCGGGTGTTACCAGTGGTGCGCTCACGCACCATAAAATATTATGCGTTTTTCAAGTCAGGTTCTAGTTGGAAAACAATTTACTTTTAGTTATTTTCTGTCGAATTTGAACTTTCTCTTGTATATTTATGTATAAATTACATCTTATGTACCCCAAATCATTATTTAACGTTTTTTCCCAGTGGTTCGTTTACGCACCAATATTTTTTTGCATATTTCGAGTTTTTATTTTTTTTGTCACATGTAATGTACTCTTAAGTGCAACAAAATAAATAATTTCGGAGCAAAAAAGTATTTTTTTTATTTTTTTATGCTTGGGATAATATGGGTTATGCAAATTTCATTGGAGAGTAATAGCAACAATAACACAATATTTTGGCGACAACGTTTGGGAAAACAAAAATAAGGAGAGACGTTCCAACAAAACTTAATAATTTTGTAGTCTGTCCATTTATAGTCCTTTGTTGAATACTTATTCTCAACACTTTCGTTCAATCCTTGACTTTCTTCAACAGAATCAGCCTCTTAAAAGTAGAAGAATTGAAATAAAGGAAATTATAAGATAGTAAAATGCCAAAGGAGAAATATGCAACTGATCTACGAATACTGCAACTTGATTACAAAAATTTTAATTCTTGCAGCAAAATGTTCGACGTTATTTTATTCTAGATTTCTTTGTACCCAAGTGATCATTTATTGAATATCACTGACGCGCTCGCTAACATTCGCCAGATTAAAGCATACATTTATTTTGCAGCACTCATTGGATTGGATTAATCCATAATATGTGAGTCGCAACAAACGTGAAAAGTATAAAAGTAGATTTCTGGAGCAACTCTTGCCGACAACAATCCTCCAGGTTCCTATTTTAGACTGCGGGTAAGAAAAAAATGGGCCACCTAAATTAAGGGGGTGACCTTAGGAAAAAGTTTAGTAGACTTGTTAACGAAAGTCCCCCGAACCTGAACATTTTTAAGTGGTTATTTCCGTTTCAATATAACAATAATCTCACCTTTCTTTCGCATCCCCTTCGGGCCGTTTTATGCTCCCCGCGTGACTCAGCACGTAGATCCTGGACGTGTCCTTGTACCATTTGACGCTGTGCAGGTTGCCGCACTGCTTCCTGTCCACTCGGCAAGGAAGTTCGGCAATAGTGCCCACGTGGGCGTACATGTCCCTCGTTTTCGTACCGGCTGTAACCCAAGAAAAAAAAAGTCAAATGTTACCGTAATTATGGCGCTAACGCTATTCGCATTACGTTAGACGTATAACGCGCGATCGGGATTCCTAACCCTACATAGCCGTTCGTCTAATAAAACCCGCGGCGAAGTTGGGCAATTTCAAAGTTCGAGAGCAGTTAATACAGTTCTTCGCCGCCGTCGTTTTACAACCTAGAGAAAATATATAATTCTTCGCTCCGCCCTCAACGAGTTTAATGGTTTTTAACTTTTGCACGTTAACTTAAGGGGGATATAACTAATTCTTGGTACGTAATTACGGCGGGATCGGCGTCGTTATTCGAGAAAACTTTTAGGTGTATCGCTTTTACGTTCTGGCGCGAAAAACGTTTAGCCGGTTATTCGCGAGCAAAATGCGATTTTTAAAGTTTCCCGGGCACGAGGTGGCCAAATCGTCAGTAAAAATGGGAATTTATATCGGGCAAGGAAATCGGATTTCCGCGGCCGTGCGCCGAAATTTTATTCGGTTTTTTGTGACAGCCGTTTGAAAAATAAGAGTGGTGTCAAAGGACGAGACTGAAAAAGTGAATGATCTACTATGATATTTACCAACTGCATGGGAAGTCACAGCTGGCAACGACCCCGATTGGATGCTGTGTAATATTAATCAAAATTCACCTTATGACAGGCTCCAAAAGGCATGGCGTCGAGTTGATATTTATGGGGAGCACGAAATGGTTGAAGTATCAATTGGTCTTGGGACATATTGCAACATAATTCAAGCAGAAGCGAAAAAAGCATATTAGGGTACCGTAATGAAGAAATATTGATATGGGACAAGAGACAGTTAAGTGAAACTAAAAAAGTAACGAAAAAGTCAACCTCATAGCGACGAAAGGAGCAGAGATCCCAACAATAGATCCACAGTCGATATTTTCGATATCCATAGCCTGGATAGCCTGGCTGAGATTTTCAGGGGCCCATTGGAAAACAGTAATGTCCTAAGAGGGAACGCACGACCGACACCTTATCAATTTGTACACCGGCCTCTGCAGCCTCAAACACCATATGCTCAAGATAGGCCTCGCGAATAATGACAAGTGTCGGTTGTGTTACGAGGGCTGAATCTGATGGGGGAGTGAATACTTGGGAATGTGCCGCAATAGATCATAAGGTGCCAGCGGAAAGGCGGAATATCGGCCACATACAATAAACCCCATCTAAACTTGATATAAATTGGAATGGTAATGGCATGGAAGAAAAGTGAAACAAATTTTATAATAGAAAAAACGGTTAGCAATGTACCTCATTTTCCTCTTGTTTGTTTGTACTGGGTGACAATTAAAATTTGTACAAGTTGTTCGAAGTTTTCTTTTAGGAGTGAATTTTGTGTGAAATATATTATCTAATGAAATGAAAATGAAATACTGTAAAAAAAGTTGTATTTTTAAATTACTACGACATTTTTGTGAACTAGTTACCTTGTATAAATAGAAGAATTATGTGTTCTCGTTGGTAGATTATTAATTTACCGATATATTCGAAATTATTTACCCAGATAAGAGGGCAAATACAGAGATAAGACAAAGAACAAGGATAACCGACGTAGTGCACAAAACCCTAAGACTGAAATGGGAATACGCAGGACATGTTGCCAGGAGAAAAACTAACAAATGGCAAAAATCAGTCCTTGTTTGGAGGCCATACGAATTTTGAAAACCCAGAGGAAGACCACCAATGAGATGGAGGGATGATTTAAAACTAATAGACTGCCGAAATTGGATACAAACAGCCTATAGCAGAAGAAAATGGAAGTAAGAACTTAAAGAAAATTTACCAATTTCATTAGAATTTTAAAAAATTGATAATAATCTCAGTTTTTTGAAAATCTTAGGCATACGTGGAAATTATAAAGTCCTTCTAACTTTGAAAAAAGATTTTTCAAAAGAACTTAAAATATACAGGTATATGTACATATATACAGTTATTTTACCATATGCAACACAAGAATTTGTAATTCAAAAATATTTATTAATTAAACTTAAGCAATAAAAATATTCATAGGTATTATAGGTAAAAAATTCTGAACCTTACAAAATATATCACAACCACTCCCTTCACAGAAAGATACCTGACTGCAATGAAATGAACGTTTGAACGAACCTTGATTTATTAAATTAGGTTAGCAACTTTAAACTTCATTTTTGTACATTGCAGTAAAATGAAAACGCAACGGTGAAAACGAATTGACATTTCATTAATTAGTATTTTAATTTTAATTTAAGTGCTTTGACAAATTCACGAAAACTCTAAACAAATAAACTACCTGTTGCAAACGATTTTGTTTAAATTGTATAAAAAACATATTAAGTTAAATGAAAATACAAATCGGTAAAATACATGACAATAATATTAGTTATTACATTAACAGTAGACTATGCAAAAAAGTTTGATAAACGCGATTTAAATTACTACTTCAATTTGGCAAAACGGAGCGGATATTGAATTATATTGATTGATTGATTAAATGATACTGAATATTAAAAAATATATATTTAATTTCGTTTCTGCATCATTACTACAAACTTAATACTAAGGATGCAGGCTCAGTGCTATTGAAGATTTTTCTAACTTGATTATATAACTTGATAAAGTTCGTATGACTGTCTCCAGAAAAGTTACTGTTTATTGTTATTTTATTATTAACTTTTGATTTTATTAAAAATTACTTTGATTACTATTTTAACAAGTTTAAATTTCACACACACCGTATCTCTGGATGGCCCGACCACAATCCGCGATTCCCACCAGTAAAACTGCGACTAAAATCCACATCTCGACCCTCGACTGACACCACACACACCAAATTTTGCATTTACTTCATCATATCACGTAACCCGCGATTTTCCCGCCGAAATTTCTAACGTCCATTCGGCCTCACATCCCCGTACAAGCCCGGCGAGTCGTTTCATACTAAACTGAAAATCACTCAAGGGGGGTCCTTCTTCGTGCCCTATACACCGCGTATTCGGCTATCAAACGAATATGATTCCCCCGCGGCAGCCACCTGTCGCGGATCGCTGCCCCTCAAGGCCGGAAGTTCGAAGGTGCCCCGTATGTGTGCGAGTGTCTTTCGATGCAATGGCGGTACAATACACGCATATCTGGGGCTTTCAGGTGCTTCTGTTACACGGACGTCAAAAAAAATTAACGCCCAACGATTCACGATTTTACTTCACCATTTTTTCAATAACTTTAGACGTTACCAGTGAAGGTACCATCGAGTTCATAACAAAGGCAACAATTTATTCCAAAAATAATTGAAAAAATTAAGTCTATATCAGTATTTACATGACAAGAGAATTGAAATTGAGTACAGTAAATATTTTTTTCTAAAATACCCAATTAATGTACCGATCAAAGGTGTAGAAAATTCACTTCGGACATTTCCGGCCACCGATATTTTGACATTTGTCAATTCTGGTCACGTGACACGTCACGATGGCAACATTGGTATTACTTATAATATTTACAGTTCCAAAATAATGCCATATAATTTTTTTTTTTAATATTTGAAAGTGCATTTCATAAAAATATTAAATAAATATAAACCATTTCTAAATAAAAAAATGTTTTATCCGTTTTTTTGTTAATATTTTAGTATTATTTTACCTTTTAAAAATACTTTATTAATGCACAAAATATAAGTTAATAAAATCAAATTAATTATTACAAAATGAAATTAAATTTATAAAATTATAATTAATTGATAATTGACATTAGCGCATTTTTGAAAAACATTATTTACGTGACTTAGTGAATGTATAAAACTTTTTGCATAATAGACCATTAAAATGAGTGAGCAAAATCAAAATTATAATAAACAATGAACAAGATGATACGAATTGATGTCTGAGGAAGCTAAAATCGGCTGACTCGTTTTTAAGGTTATAAATTAAATTTGTTGGTACTCCGAAGATTTATATTATGTCTCCTATTATCATCAAAATAATTACGTCACCAAAGTGAGTAAAACCAAAAATATGTTCTTAAATTTGAAATAAAAATATTAAGGAATGATATCCCGTTTACGATTTCTGGCGCACCCTGTATCTATCTGAGAAACACAGTGTTACCCGAACTGTTTCGTTCACGCTCCGCCGACTGTCCACTTTCCCACCCCCCCGTGTTGGATCAAGAGGGCCCCATGGGTTTCGCACGCTCGCACATTGTTCGTCCGTGAGATCGTATACGAGCCTTTTTGTTAATGTTTGGTTATTTCTTTCACGTTATTTAGTAATCTTGAATTGGAGTTCGCCAAACTTTGAACTGCCGCAATATTACTGTTCTCTAATTTTTCCATGGTTGATTTATTCGTCTTGAAAGTGAAGGCAAATGAATTTCTTAACTTTTAAACTCTTTAGAAGAGATCAAGTTATGAAAATTGCAGCTTGGGTATTTTATAAAGTGCGAAAAAACAGGAGTTTAGCAACACTATATGGTGTTTCGGATTTTTGATGGTCTTATGGCGTAATTGATAAAAATAGCTCCCGCGTTGCGGCTTTTCTGAGTCAAGGCCGCTTGAGTTGAAATGAAAGATGACACAAACAGAAATATAATAGCTATCTTGGATTTTTTGATACAAGGTTCTCCGTTTTCCCCGGGCATACTAATATATATAAAAAAAAATAAAGATATTTAAAAGTATTTAAAAAATTGTTATTGAAAAGCATAGTCTTAGAAAACACAAGGTTAGTTTGTACATTAATCTTTGGGTTTTTCAGTCGAAAGCTGACTACGCCGCTGGGGCCTTCATAAAAAACTCTATCCAGACCGTTTTCACCTTTTAGATAAGTAAACTTACAATCGCTTTACAAAGGGAGTCTAAAAATGCAACATTTTCTCAATCACCCTGTATACAAAAATCAAAGATATCTACTGTTTGTGCCACCTTTTATTTCATAAGAAAGCATGAGTCATGAAAGCGGCAATACACTAGCTTTGTTAATAATGGAGGTACACAGCAAAACCATAAAAATGGGACACACTGTACAGAAATGTTAAGTGGACATCAAAGTAGGCAACTTTCTTTTCTCTAATTTAATCGACCTTAGCTCATACAGTATCGGAGGCAACAACATCGATATCACACTGTATAGTTCGAAATTTATAATTTCGAGATATTGAATCGATATTTTTCAGTAATTGTAAGTAAGTTATTGTAAATTTATTATTAATTAAACAAGCATTTTATAAAAGGGTAAGCTTTTTTGTTACTTATTATTTTTAAAAATTTATTTTATAGTTTCAATTTAACTGCATAGGTTATATAAACTAATAAATTTCAAACAATTAATAAAAAATATTAAATTAATTAATAAAATTCAAATTAATGCCGGTACATTTAGTTGTTTACTTTTTTTTAATAACATGTTTTTTTAAATTAAATTAATTAATTAAGTATCTAATATTATATTAAAATATTTATAACTTTATAAATGTTCACACCTCTAATTTTATATTTTGATAATTAGTTGCATATTCGAAGCATTTTTTAAAAAATATCTTGTTTCTATATATCTTCAATAAATGATTAAGTAGTTTCAGGATTCTAATATTCGAGGCTTAATTTAAATAAAGCAATCCAAAATTCAATTTTTGTTTGGACAACACTAACAGCTTAAAGTTTTGTATACGCCCTTAATAGCCCAATTTACCTTAATTTACCTTAAACCCTACGTACGAGCGCAACCATGATTGCGCGAACGCAGTTATAAATACACAGGACGTTTTCAATTTGTCGACGGAATCAAATCGTAATCAACAACAGAAACCGATCAACGTTGGGAAAACCGCACGCAAAATAACGTGCCAGTCATAAATTTCCATTAGCGCGACTTCCGCGTATGTAATTTAAGCTTTAGAGAACGATAAATCTGACCGGGGCGAATATACATTTTGCCTATGGTTTCAAATAATATATTGACCGTGCCCCCTAACGCCACCTTAAACCACCACCGAGCGCCCGAAAGCGAACAAACGAATAACTAATTAATATCTCCGTAAGCTTTTTCTTCCTATAAAAAAAATACGTTCATTCGTTCAGTAGAATAGCTATGGGCGATCTAGCTTTTTTTCGTTTTTACATGAAAATTCCCATAAAAAAAATTTTGGTCCCAACTTCATTTTATTTTTCTGGAATCGCCGGTTCGTCTGTTGATTTTAGGTACGTTTGCTCATCGGCAAAAAGTCTCTTGGATGATGAATCATCTTTTTTCTTTAAGCGACCGGAGAGGATCAAACCCGGGACCCGTCCGAAGTTGAGCAACAACTTGCGCAGTAAACTAATGAGCACATAGATTCGAGAGGATAACGGTGTATTATACTATACATTTTTGCAAAACAGTACGAATATATTCACTAGTGGAGAGTGGATTTTATGAAAAAGTATAGGGTTTTTATCTATTACAATAGGAACCAGGACTACGCAATGGAAATAACGCTAACTGTAGATTCTATGTAAAGAAAAATAAAAAATATACCGCCAACGGCATCCTCAAACACCAAAATGGTCCAAATTGACACCACACAACACACGAAACGTGAAAACATAAAAAACAGCAAGTCTGCTTTCGAAAAAAACCCGAAACTGTCAGTTTGACAGGTGACAGAGAAAATAAAATTTCCGCTCGGATGGGGACGACTACTAAGATCAAGCGGCCAGTTTGACGGAGACAGAGATAAATTAGTTTGCATCTTAAGAATTACTTAATTATTTTTTAAAAGAAACAGTAAACCTTTTAATGAAGATAAGACGTGATTATACAATGTTAAAGTTATCTTAAAATGGTTTCGAAAGGCAATTTTTGTTCCTTTCGTGAATTATAATAAAGAACTGGCAAACCTTCGTTTTTTCATTTCGAATCGTTATATTTGCTTCCCGGGCAATTTTTTGTCAGGCCAGAATGGCAAACAGCCGTACCAAATCCGATACGTTTATTCGTACGAGGTTCGCGGAACCGAAAAACGTCCCCCCGAAATCCCGATTTAATAGTTATTCTCGCAAAATCCCCGACGAATACCGACAATAACGTGTTTGCAGGCATTTTTCCATTGACGCGGTTTTTACCTTCGCGTTTATTATTCAAACTAGCAAATAACGCGGGGCATATTTCCCTCCGGATCGACGCCGGATTTTGTCAAATAATAAGATGCAATTTTGTCGTGTGATATGAAAAGAAGTATCAAAATAAGTCGAGTCTACAATAAAAATCCGTCCAAAATTACATACCACCAAATATGCCAAAGTGGATATATTTTTGAAGAGGAAGATTTGTGTATTTGCTTTTCTTAGTTAGTCATATAAATTGTTATGTAGGAACGTAAAAAGTAAGACAGAAGTTATGTGAATTATATACAGGTTATTCATTATCTTTTTTAATAGTCGAAATATCCAGTATAGTTTTCTGGAACCTTTTCTATTTAATTTGCATAACCTTGTGTAGTTATATCATACACCTTAAAACGACTCGACATGCTATTTATTTATTGCACAGCCAACTAATTTCCACTGACCCAAGCGTATTTGCCGTCGTGTATGAAAAAGAAAACATCACTGCGCAAGTCCAAAGATTAATTGTTTTACCGAATTTTTGTAGGAAATAGTGTAACGATTTGAGTTGTAAGAGAAGTGAATTATTGTGTTGATAATAGATAAATAAAATACAGAGTAATATTGTAAATTATTTTGATCTAATAATCATATTCTACACCACTAGAAATTACGTAGCTTCTAACTATGCTCTAAGAGTCACTCAGAAACTCTATAAGTATAACAGCTTTAATATGCCTGCTTGGGTTCATAAAATTTTAATTCATAGGTTTGATGTAATAGATCAGTCACTTTGTCTGTGAATGTGATAGGTGACAGCTATCACAAGAGGACCAGCAATTTAGTGACAAAAATTACTACAATATACGTGAGCATCATTTAAGAAAATCTTCTCGAACAAATACCGTTTTTCCCACGAAGGAAACAAAACGGATATTTCAGGACTTGCCTTGACTTGACCTATATGAGAAGTGTTTGGTTTCTGATGGCGTGGAAT